GTGTGGAATCCCATGTCTCGCTAGGTGGGCTTTCAATTTCGTTACAACTTCTTTTGCTGTCTTGTCTGTCATTCTGTTAACTTAAAAAAAAAAAGTAGTCGACAGTGGCCATAAACCCTGTACCACTCAGATCAAAGAGGTCCACTTCAATCTTCTCCCACGTCTAGTAGGCAGTCCATGGCATATCAGTGGTCAAGGAAATGTTTAGGTGCGTCAATAAAGCAAACATCTTTAACAGCACAAATTGGTACACATCTTCCGATCTAGAGAGATCCAATTCATAAGGCTTCGCTTCCTTAAGATTTACTCCTCTTGAGATCACTTTCCACCATTCTTTACACACTCTAGCAGCTCTTACCAGGTCTTTAATCTCCAAGAAACTACAGGTAAGAGTTCAAATTACCGGGGGAAATTTTATGTTTGCTGGCGTGTAATGAAACTGCGTGAGATTCACAAAATGCCCATCTGGCTTGCTCGTGTTCGCCTGATTTTATCTCACCTTTTGATCGGTGCTTCTGTTGAAATCGGAAAAAAATCGATTCTTTCATTTGCCAAAATTGTCCTTTGTCACCTACATTTGCTTTTTTCCATTTCAGACACTCAGTGTTAAGTGTGCGAGAACTTTTGCCACTTTGAAGTTGCTTTCTGCTCTCCCAGATGGAACAAACATAAGCACAGTTTTATGATCTTGTAAATTGGGCTGGTTTAAAGGTCAGCGCCACCGATTGCCCTATCGCAAAAAATAGAATTTTGCGATCTTCATTTGGATACAATTCATACGTGATTGACCGGCTTCTGTCATTTCTGTGATGAATCATCAGCCACAGTGATCTTTGGGAATGATGTGGGAAACAACCTACGGTGATTCTTTTGGATGATTACATGCACCTAATAGGTTGCATTGGCTTTCCTTCAAAATGCACTTAGACTTTGTTTTTCGCATTGTTGTAACAAATAATCGTACACACATACCAAAGGTTCCTGAATTCTAAAGGCGAGTCTTTTTTTATTTGATCTTCATTCACAAGAAAAAAAGAGAGAGGCTGTGGACAGAAGTAGGGTAAACCGAAAAGAATCAAGAAATTGGTGTAAGAACAAATTCTAATAAATTTCTACATGCAAAGTGATTTCAAACATTCTCTGACATGACAGTTAGAATTACCTTTGATGACTTGAATTTCTATTCAACCTTAAGTGAAAACCCTAATATGATCCTCACTAATACCAAAGAAATGTATAGAAGTCAGTTTGGAGAATTGGTAATTCAATACTAGGTCTTAAAGGGTTGGAAAGCTAACTACTGTACACACATTCCAGTTATCAAATTTGTGTTTCTTATGTACAGATCAAAGTCAATAATAAACTGGTGAAATGGATGCAATAGTGAGCGAAACTCCCCAGGTCGCATTTATCATCTCATCAAACCAAATAGTGAAGGATTTAACATGTCCCCTTTGACAGCATGCAATAATGGCTCCTTTGTTGCCATGTCTGTGTGATCCATCAATCAAGGTAGACTGATTCCCATTTATAGCTAGCGTGAATGCTCGTTCATCACATACATGACTTTCACTTGTTTTGGGCCACAACCAGTTGCTCAACTGATTGATTGGGGCACGAAATATATCAATTTTCTGCTGAAGTGATTGTAACTACACTCGTCTCCTGCCAAAGAATCTGCTTTAACTACAGTGACATTTGTTGCCTCATTGGCAAACTGGTCATCGTGTATTTGATTTTGGTTTCCTTTGATCATTGCTTCATGTAGAGCTCCTTTCCAAGACTCATGAAGAAGGTCACCAGTGGGCCATGTTAAATTCCATTCAAAGCTCAGGTTTCCCATGAGAAAAGCAATAAAAACACAAGCATTATTGTCTGTCCTACCGTGAATGTCTAACTGGGATGCACTGAAAGTCCATTCCATGACCCAAGAAAAATATGATGAATCTGATCCTTTCGTACCTGAGTCACATGGTAGTACAATAGGTGGCACTCCAACAGAAGGCACAGGTTGTGGTTGGCTAGCAGAATTAACTGGCCCTGATACAGGAAGAGTTGGTGCAGAATCGGACTGTAATGAGGCACCATGGTACGGTTCTGATGGTCCTGGTATTCAAACTCCCTTGAAAAGGATAGGACATATAGATTTCTTCATGGAAAGTGCTGATGTACGATATTTAAGTATTCGTTTGTTTTCACAAAATTCACTCGCTCGCAAAGCCTCGCACGTTTGTTTTGTGAAAACAAATGAGTGCTTAAATATCGTACAAAAACACTTTCCATTATGAAGTTTGTTTATTATATACTAACCGAGATGTTCTTGAACTTCAAGATGATTTATTAAATCGCTTGGCAAGATTTTTGTATAACCTTATTAATTAATTATGCATACATCTATTGTTAGAAGAAAACAAAAGAAAGAACAATACTAAGCCTTTGGGATTTCAGCTATTATCATAAAGTCTTTATAGCCCTAAATTTGGTGCCTTTTGTAAAAAAGATTTTTCCAAACAAATTTTAAACTTTTTTTTCTGTTCCTAAACCTTACTATATAATTAAGTTCATTTTGAAAAAACAAAAGAAAATATTTCGTAGCGCAGAGCATTAAATTCCCTAAACTAACCTCCGAATTTAACATGCTAAACAAAATGAAATATAAGTCCTACCTTTTTAGCTGTGTTTGTCCGAGTTTTTTCTGTGTTTTTTCTACTGGGACAAGGAAGCAGGCCTTGGTTTCATGGCAAAGGCCACTCAAAACCCACTTCTCTTTGATTTTGGAACCTCGGTGATACTTCATCTTGCCAAACTTAGACTAGTCAATCTCAACAGTTGTTCCAGGTCTGCCTATTGGCCCCGCATGATGATTCATGATTCTGTCGGCACAAACCTCACAGCAATAGTTATACCAATTTATCACCATTTCTGTTGACATTGTTTCGTCGTCCAGTGAGGTTTCGTGCACTGCTTGAGTAGTGGTTAATTTGTTCCCCCAAGCGTAAGTTAGGGCTAATATTTTTTCAATGGATAGCCTGCTACCAGAAAACCGTGACTTCTGGTGCATGGATGCTGCCCTATTGCAACCTTTCTTGGAGCGTCGCCACTCGTACCCGTCTCGCGATGAAGCTCGTCTAGTCCAGCTGAGTGCATTGTGGCACCCAGCTCTAGGGCATTTCAATGACGATACGAGTAGGTTGTTTTGCTTACACCACTCTATGCGCCGGTTGGGATCTGCCAGAATTTTTGATTGCTTCAAAAAGTTCATTTGGTGAGCCATAGCCGTTGTCTGCTGATTGAAATACAGGAAAAGAGGGTTTCTGAAGTGTGTGTGTGCTTTTTATTGCTTGCATTGATACATGTTTTCGTGGATATGTGACAAGCAAAAGTCTGAATAATATACATGACTCCATGTTTCAGTTGTATTATTATGTATATTTGAACTTGAACGTGCAAAAAGATATCTATCTTTTATCCAGTAAATCTCAACAACTTGTGGTCTAGTGGTATGGTAGAGAGACAGGAACGCCAGAACTAAAGAGGAGCGTTGGTTCAATTGTCGCTGACAACCAAGGAAAAAAGGAAATAGGAAACTGCGGGAGCACTGAAGAGAGTGGCCAGGGAAAGAGACGGGGAATAAGAGCGAGAGAGAAGTAAAAAAAAAATTAAAATCCTCTTTTATTAACGCAGTAAGTATTCATTACTGATGTATATATGCTTTACTCTGGGGAATTCGCTATTGTCTTGGAAGACAATAGCAGGGATACATAGTCAGTGAGATAGAATGCATAATTAATGTATGGGGTAATATAGTAATTTTTCCTGTTGCTTTTACAAGTACTCATGTAGTTTTGGAAGCTTTCTGAGAAGTTAAACCAAGGCTTGAAATAGTAAAATAAAGTACTGAGTTGAAATAACTAAGCTTACTGCATGACAATTTCATAACAACGAATTAGTTTTTCGTAAGTATTCATTCAAGAAATATACTGAATAAAGAGGACGAAAAGCTCGACAAAAATAAGCACTTAGCTTTTTAACGAAGCTGACTCTTTTTATGTCAAAGGAGGACTGTCATCGTCCTCTGAAGAGACTAATTTCCTTTTCAGCGCTCCAAGCTCATTTTTTCAATAAGTCGCCTTTTGGCGACCTTCATTTTTAAAATGGTCGCCAGTGGAAAATTTCGGTCGCCAAAAATTGTCGTTTCATTAACGCAAGACACTTCATGCTACTTACATGAAGGAGCTACTGCTGAACGTTGTGTACGGAAATAAATCGTGTTTTTAACACTCCATTGTTACTTGCCTGCGGGTTGTAAACGCAGTACAAGATGGCAAAAACAGGCAAAGACATTTATGAGAGGTAACCAGAACAATTTACTACAAAGTCGGATGTTGAAACCCGGAACATGTATTTGCAGTGATATCATTGAAACAAATCTGATCAGATACGATTACGTGAATATACATTTGTTCGTACCGTCTACTTGCTAAGAAACATCTTTCTTTAGCTAAATCATTGGCATTGAAACCACTCACATATGTTAATTAAAACTTGAATCAACAATAACAATAACAATACTTCTGGCCTAAATAAACGTTTCTTACTTCAAAGTTGATGACAAAAATACTGTTTGTACGTGCTAAATGAAACTTGCCTGAATAACTTCCACTCATTGTTGACGTATATCAGTATCAAGTTATTCTTAGTTATCCTAATAAATATCTATATATGGTTTTCTAATCACGAAAAAGCAGTACTAACACTTGAATTTATCACGACAACGTATTCAGAGGAGAATGTAAAATATACATTTATCGCGATTCGGTGACTAACTGCATTTACCAAAACATCGATCAATGGCGCTGATGTTTCAACAAATTAGATTGCTGGTTTACGTTGGTACTTTGTCTTGAATGATAATATTATAAACAAGTAAACAGATTGGGGATTTAAAGTTTTGTACAGTGATGTAACGTTATTTGTAGGTGGCGCTCAAAGAGTTCTGTTCATGGCGTATAGAATGGTCTTCGAGGTTTTATGGCCGAAGAAAACCATGCAGCAACAGCTGGAGCTGGATCGTAGTCAACGACAGGAGGACCCTCAGCTGAAATCCTGATCAAAGATTCAGTTGTCTTGGGGGCGAGGGAGGCTCGATGGCAATTCTTGATTCGGTTCTGTGCCAAGATTGCTCTCTCACATTGAGCCGCCGAAAGGGGAAGCACAAGGAGAATTTCAACAAGGCACAACACATCCTTCAGTTCATTCCTCTACGGCTCCTTTGTCATAAGTGTGGCCCAAAGATCATTGTATCCTTTATCCATGAACTCAGAATGGACAAGAATCTTCAGGGACAGCCACTGAGGTTGAATTGCACCTGTGTTACATCCATAGAAGACAAGTGGAACTTTGAACCAATTGATTAAACGTTCGACTTTTTCTCTGCCGAAATCAAGAAGGGCTTCCATATCTGTAGGCCAAGCATCATGGTTGAAGACAGTCAAGTCTGAGATAACCCCATTAACTGTAGCAGTTTTCTCAGACTTGTGCTGAAGCAATGGCCCAAACCTGTCTTCAAGTCCTTTCAGGCAAAGCTGTACTGCTTGCTCAATGCTTTTGGGAACCTCGTCACTGCCACTGTGATGAACTTTGGAAGCAATGTTCCGAACATTGGCCGATCCTGATTTGGTAAGTTGAATTCCCTGAAACATTGGTGGCTCACATTGCGTTTTTGCGAAACTTGCTAGAAGGGTTTCCATTCTTCCACCGGGAATTGGTCGTTTAGGCAGGCTCTTAATGTTTTCAACTGTTTCCTTTAGAATAGCAAGAGCGCTTGGAAGTATTAAGTCATTTCGTTGGAAATGCAGGCTTAGTTTACCAAGAATCTGAAACATATCAGCAAGAAAATGGCAAAAAACAAGGAAGGAAACCTTTTTCATAGCGCAAGCAACATTCAATGCTCTGCCTTTGATTTCTGCTTTAGGAGACGTTGAGGCTAAGTGCTCCATGTGCTGTAGAACAGCTGCATACTGCGATTCATCTTTTGCCAAATCTCCATCCTTTACTGGTTTAATGAACACGTCAAGGGCTCTGCTGACATGTGGTAACCACCTTTCACTCGAGTTGGCTGCAACACGTCAATTCCAAGCTGGCTTCCAAGGGACTTCAAATCACGCTTGCTTTTTGGGCTGTAGTGGTATGTTTTCCACACCAAATGAAGGACGTCGTAAACTTGAGTCACCAGATGGCAATCCCGTTGCATGCTAAGAAGAGCAAGCTCCAGGCGGTGAGGAAAACAGTGGATTTCAAGCAAATGGGGAACATCCTTTTTAAGTAATGCGGAAACACCTCCTTTATGGCCCACGTTTACAGAGGCGCCATCAGCCCCAAATCCAGTCAACTTTTCCTTCCAGTTTTGTACGTCTAAATCACCGAATGCTGATTCAACTGCCTGGACAAGACCTAATTCAAATAAAGGCAGCAATTACTTAATCTATAAGCTTGGCCAAATACCATTTGAAACTTGTTTTTTGTTCCTACGTCAGCTGTTTTACTGTAGTTTGCATATAATTTGTAAACAAAAAAAATGGCAGCTCTGAGTTTTTAAAGTAGCACGATTCAAACACACGAGATAGTTTGCGAGAAATTAAAAGTTGCAGCAGAGTCTCCTTCGATTTTCCTTGACAAATGTTAATCTTCGGTTTCTCCCAAACGAATCTCTTGTCGTGCTATTTTATGTCTTTTAAATAGTCGAGAACAAAATGTCAAGGCAAGGCAGCTGAGGTAAGGGGTCAGCTGTACACAAACAACCTGCTAGCTAGCCCATACAGGTGAAATAGGTTAAGTCGCAGCTGGGCCACTAAGCAATCCACACGGCCGGCAATTAACTCTGTATCATGATGCAACTGAGAGTACTACTACCCCCCCCACCCACCCACCCACCCGCCCCCCTTCCTGGATTGAAGTAAAGATCGATACAGACTAATTTTTACCTGTTGCATTTGCATTTTCAACAGCTTTGTGTCCAATTAGTCGAGTAACTGCTCGCCCATTCTGTACCATCTTGCAATGTATGGTCTCGTTCTCAATACCGGACACATCTGAAGCACCATCAATGAGAACAGAGATAAAGTGGGCCTCCTTCAACTTTTTGGAAACGTCGTCAGCAAGAAGTTTTCCAATGACTCCAGTCATTTCGGCACATTTTGTATCGTTTGCGTATGTAACACCAACTTCCAACCCGTTCTTTTTCTGTAGCTGCACTAACCCTTTATATTTCGTGAAAGGAAGCTCCTCCTTTGCAACAAAATACGCTGTATTTATTTTGATCGTCATCTCTTTTTGCGCATCTTTGTCGTTCTGACTTCGCATTTTTTGGAAAACTGCACTTAATGGTCCTTCCGATGCTGGTTTCTGCTTACCAAGTACATGGTCTCGTGCGCGCGTGTGACGATGGCTCCTTCCATGAATGGATAGGGTTTCTTTCTTAAATGATGTACAGCCGGTGACAAAGTCTGTTTTGCCTGCTATTTCGGCGCCAGCCTCTTGACAAAATGTGCAATACATCGCGTTTTTTTGTGGATCAAAGTTTACCCAGGTAAATTCTTTCTTCCAATTGGCGTTGTACTTTCCCGTAACAGTATCACTATGTGTAGTGAAAGTACGGGGATGTTTTTTAACTTTTACCTCGTTTTCATCACTGATCTCAGATGAAGCCCTGGGCCTTTTGGTGCCTGGTTTCAGTATAGTGGCGCTGCCTTTAGACTTTGGGGAAAAAAAACTGGTGATTGCGATCGCTGGAGCTTTTTTCCCGCCACTAGGTGCTTTAACAGGAGCCGTGGGTGCAGAAACATGAGCCGTGGGTGCAGTAGCAGAGGCCGTGTTATCCTTGGGCATACAAACATTACACACCAGTGGTACAAAATGGTTTGGCTGATATACAGCACCAGAGCGATTGTCAAGATTGCCGTCTCTTGACCACAAAATGTAGATCGGCAAAACGTCAGCGGCACTGCTTACGCGAGGATGTACCAATCCATGGATCAGTGGTCTCAAAGCGGGGTTTGTGTTTGGGTAAACAGAAAAAATTGGTCGTTTTAACACTGTACTTAATGCCATCAAATGTACAAGACTGCTCCAAACCTTGTCTTTTGAGGCACTCATAGCTTCTGCTTTTACGGCTTCAACTGCACGTCTGGTCGACTGCCACTCTTTCTCGCCTGCCGACGTCAGCATTAAAATAAACAGTGTTTTCTCTGAGTAGGAACACTCCGCATTTGCTTCAGAGAGCTTTTCGTGATTAGCATAGAATTCAGCGTTTAAAAATAGTTCACAAGCAGTCAGAAATCGTAAAGTTCCATTTAGCGACTCATCTCCCTTCATTAAAACTGACGCAGAATTATACAAACAATTCCCGTCCCCGGAAACTTGAAGAGCCCGTAGACCACGTGGAAGATTTTCATCATCCGGAATCAATGCTGTTCCAAGTGAATCTTCTTCATAGTTGTTGAAGGTTAGTTCCGAGATGCTTTTCTTATGGAGAATTTCCTCGTGTTCTCCCTTTAACTTGATGACTTTTTCGGTTGCTGACGGATCGCCGCTTGCGAATAGATCGCGTACTTTTTCAAATATTCTCTCGAAGTCTGTCATTCTTCATTACTATTTCCTCAGCAAGAGCAATAGAAATAAGCAAATGACAGCCAGCTACGCGCGAATGGGGATTTCACATCAGTTTATTGACAGCAGCGCTGCGCATAAAAGACTACACAGACATTTGACCTCCAGCTGTGATTCAGACAAAGAACTCCTCTTTGTCTTATCTGCATGAGAATGTGGTATGGGAAAGTCTCGGGGGAAAGTGGTGTTGCCGAAAACTTTGATGCGGCTTTTATTGATATTTTTGCAAGAAAATCACGTTTACCACTGATTTCGTCGATTTTTCGCTGATTTTTTATATCCAAAACAAATCCCGCTCATACAAAGCCTTTGAGCTGACTGCATGTAAACTTTGTCATTCACCAAGGGGTCTATCTATTTTTAGTAATTGTGCACAGCACCATCAACTCCACGTGTTGCCTAACCTGCGAGAGCATCCGGTTTTTTCGGCACTAGCTTCACAAATCACAACGCTTGTGAAACTAGAGCCGATAAAACTGAATTCTCTCGCAGGCTACGTGTAGCCAGATCAGCGTGAAAAGTGCCTGACTTAACTTTTCTCACGGGAAATTTAATATTTCTTCATGAAACACATTTACTCCAACAAAAGTATTTTTATTGATGAATATAATAAAAACAGCTTTTATTTAAAAAAAAAACGCAATAAACGCAACTTACAAGAGCATACGACTTGCCATCTTTTGTGTCAAAAATTTAACTGTTTCTGTCGGGGTGGCCTGGGTGTAAGTCAACCCCCGCCGGAAGTAGTTTGGGCTCTTCCCAGTTTCTCCCACCTGAGTTTTCAAAATGGCCGCTCAATGAATTCGAAGCTGCGATACGCAGATCCTTATGCCAGAACTGTACACATGTCTTGCCATGCAAGAGGAACAGATTCATCATTGAATTTACACAGAAGAAAAGCTTGGTAATATTTCTTTAATTTAACGATGATTCAGTTAAAAAGCGATAAAACGTGAAGTCAACTTTATTCTTTTGAGCTTATATCCTTTGGTCGCCAAATGGCGACTTTCGCCAATAATTCAGTCGCCAATTTTTTTTTTTCACTCGCCATGGCTACCAAAATGGTCGCAGCTTGGAGCGCTGCTTTTTATACGTTTATAAGTTTGTTGTTTTTGTTCTTCTGTTGGAGACGAGGACAAGCTGATATTGATAGTGAAATTTCCTCTTTAAAACACAGTACCCTTGAATAGCCCTGCTGCTGTCGGCGTTGGACTTTCTTTTTTTGTTGTTTTGACAAGAGAGTGTGTTTCAGTTTGAACCACTGAAGTCAAGCCACTCGAATATTCTTGACATACTCTTCTGTTGTTCTTGTGAAACATGACTAGTTGTTAATACTCTGCACATTTTTGTGTCCTGATAACTGCATTATATGACTAGAAGGAATATCCTTATCATTCAATGTTTGATTCGTCCGTTTTTGAGCGCTGTAGTTCGTAAGGTGAGAGTTGTCAAGGCCGGTGTCCTCAGCCATTGTGTTCATTAGACTGTTGAGTTTGTTAACTCCCATTGCACTGGCTTTAAACCAACTTTTATCAGAGTTTTTTGTAGTACTATTAACACCAAGATAAAAGGGTGCATCTGGTTTGTTCATGGACTCTGGTCTCTTTTCAGAATAGATCTCGAAAAGAACAACAGGAATTCATTTGCGCGGTAAATATGGAGTCCCGAAAGCTTTAGGTTTGATCGGTTGGACATTATGTGGATCAGCTCCACTTGTGGTTTTAGTTTGTCTTTCAGAAAAATGTAAATATTCAGTTCCATCTGCATCTTTCATGATCTGAATGTCTCCCCAGCACATTTGCAGATGCTCTCCACATCCTCGTAGACCAAAATGCAGTGAATTGAAGAGCCAAACTGTGTTTATCAATGCTTCTCCGTTTGAAATTCCCAGGAGGCTTTTTTCGGAGAGAATATTGATCTCATCATCGCTTAGTGCTTCTGCCGCATTAGGTCTGTTGCCTTTGCCCTCCTTATTAAGTTGCTTGTTTTTAGCTTCAAGACATTCTCTTGCGCATTCAAAAGCAACGTCTTCGATGATGCTGACAGGATATTTACATTCTTTCAAATGTCGATTGAAACTTGAAAACAGACCTCTAAGACTTGAAGGTTCAAAGTCGTTGCCATCTTTTCGTTTCACACAAAGGATAAACTTGCAGAGATATTCGTTCAAGTCCTTGGCTTCAGTGTCTTCAGGATTTCTTTGCTCGTGTTTTTCTCTCAGAAATTCAATGAGTAGCTTCACATCTCTCGTTGTCTTAGCTCTTTTATTTTTGTTTTGCTGCTCGATAATATAGTCGTCAATTGACTTTTCTAAATGTTCGAATCTCATGGATCCTTGAGCCATTGTTAAAAGTACAAGTATTTTTGTACTTTTGGTACACAAAGTTTTCTCGCTATGGAGGTTTGCACGCAAAGAACTTGAACTTGTTGAATGAAATCTGTGGTATGTGTTGACTAGTCTCTCCTGATTGGACGAAACGCTTTACACACATGTGAGAAAGCTATTTCGCTGCTGTGATTGGCCATCAGAATTTTGAAGTGGGTTTTCTGATGATGAAGAAAACTGTGTGTAAATCTCAGTATGTATATAAGAAAATATATTTCACTACATGTATTTATGTTACTTCTAACCTGAAAAGGTAGAGTTTTGCTACCCACTAAGGCTCTGCTCCAGGTAAAATCATAGAGAGCCCAGAGGATTCAACAATAAAATTGGGGGTGTACAGCTCAATATGTTAAAAGTCAAAATTTTACTTCGTCTCCAGAGTACTGTAGAAATATTTGTAATAAAAAGAAGACTGGTCTTTCATACACAAACATGTAAACAGGGCCTTAACACTTTTCCTCAATATCATCCTATAAAACTATTGTCTGGTCCATGGCATGTTTAAGTACAGTGTGAGATCATGACGGGGTATAGTTGACAATCCACCATCCTTGGCCCTGAAAAAAGGTCTGCAGTAAATCTGCTCACATGTGTGATAAGAATAAAGTAATACTACCTTGCTGTTCACTTCTCAGTTGAAGTGCTTCCTCAATCATGTTTTTCATGTTTCTATTTACGATGGTAGCTGCTCCACCAACTTTTGATCTGGGACTCTTTCAGTTCTGAAACACCCGCAGCTCTCATTGCTTGAATTACATCTGCTGGGTTTGCTTTTATCTGAGATGTCTTTTGGCGATCATAAAATGTAATCATGATGTCTTTCTGCTCCTTTGTACATTTGGTTACTTTAGCCCCACCTTTGTTAAGGGAAATACAGGTACAGGTCTAAGGTCATCATTGTCTGAAGGTTCAGCACGAGGTCTCTTTGGTCTCTTATTTGATTCAGCTGCACTTTCGATAGCAGACACCTTTACAGATTTCCCCTTGCTGGTAAGATTGAACTTATTACTTCGCTCTGCCTCTGCAGATATGGCTAGGCTCATAGCTCCAATGAGGTCTTCATCTGCGACCTTTAGGTTCTGAGTGAGTGGCCTTATTTTTGCACAAATGGTTTCGTCAGTGAGACCTGTTTCCACGGCATGCAGGAACAAACTTTGTACTGAAGAGGCGTCATACTTAATCCCACTATCCAACTCTTTTGAAGCAGTAATAATCTTCTGTCTAACGGTTAGTGCTCTCATCAAAAATGACTGAGGATCTTCATTAGGCTGCTGGGCAATATTTATTAAAAGCTGGTAAAGTTCTGTGGCATTCCTTTCATGAAAATGGAGGCGAAGAATTTTATGCAACCTTGGCAGGGTGAGGTCAACCATGGTCTCTAAATAGCTTCTTAGTTGTAGACCTGGCTGTACAGCACGAACTACGGCACTAACTACTTCTTTATCAGAGTATCCCTTGGTAAGCCCTGCTTCTATTTGTGATATTAGGGCTTGGTAAGCCAGCTTTTCTTTCTGACCGGGGTCGCCTACCACTCCCTGTATTTTAAAATCTCTACGGAATATGCTCTGTTCAACCCCCTTTACAGGAAACTTGATTGTCTCTTCTTCCTTTACTGTGCCAGTCAGCTTTTTTTCTGCATTTTGGCTAGTTTCTCCTCTACTAATTGCTGCTTAGATTCTAAATGACCTAGTTCTTGTTTGAGCTTCTTTAGGTCGCTTTTGTTTTGTTATCCTTCTTGGCCATACTTATCTTCCATTCCCTCGAGTGGCGGAGGGCCCAAGTGTCCCATTAATCTGTCAACATAAATCAATCTGGTCATCGCCGGTCAGAGCATCAACTGAATCCTCAATTTGTGCCTTATGGACTGAATAACAGTTAATTTCTCCTTGGCCTCCACTACCAACTTTTCCACTTTAGCATGCAAAGCAAATTCACTTAAAGCGCTCTAGTCCATCGGCATTTTTTTGTCTAAAAGAATGAGGCTTTCCTCCGCCATCTTGCTTCTAATTAACATGATCACAAAACCCACATAGCATCCAACAAAACAACATTCATACCTTTCCTGGCCTCAAAGCTGTGTTCCACTACTCTTGACCAGCTGTTCACACCAAATGTCTGTCTAAGCTACAAACCACTGTCAAGACCAAAATGAATATCTTGGACGGCGAACCACACAAATTCTAGCACACAACGTTCGTTGACAATTGAAACTTGTGCTGCATCTAATTCCTTCAATGAATCCTCCCGGACAGGCCCCCAGAATGTTTCACAGGATATAAACACTGCTTGAGAATATTCTACGTGTATTTTGCTCATATATTTCCTTAAATTCTACTACTCTTGAGTTCATAACGCTGATTACTTTTCTTGCTTTTCTCGCACATGTTTTTTTTCTTACATCATCAAAATGTCACATATGGTTTCCAGTCCTTAGGCACACAGACGCCTGGCACTAAACACAAATGCTTTTAACAATGAAATTTCTATGCCTAACAGGTACACTTGGAAGTTAGGGAACACCTTCTCCATCCAGGCAAAGCCATCGTCCAGTACACCTTGCGTGGACCAGGCATCTTGCTTGGTATCTTCTGACCACAGGTCAAGACCTTCTATATGCCTTTCACTGTCAGAAACTTGAGTGATAACATGATAACATAAAAACCATGAAGAGAAATCCCATGTTTTCCATACCAGTCACGCTGAATTTCTCTTGAATGCATGCCGAGTTCAAGTTTCATCTTGTAATCAATGACAACAACGGCTTCTCCTGCCTTCAGGCTTTTCAAAACATACCTAAATGAATATAAGAACATCAAAAATATATTTGACAATTCCATCAGAGTCAAGGAGAACTGATTGTGTTGTTCTGATAATAATAATAAACAAACATTCTGGTATTAAAGGTGCCTGGGATGACCACTCTCACCTTTATTTGTCCACCAATTTTTTTGACTACAGTATGACTGCCAGCAAGATGTTAGCCTGCGTGCAAGCTCTCCAGGGCGCTCTAGTGGTGGGGCGGGAAAAGGTAGGAGAGCTTGCATCTACGTCTCTGGAATTTAAATTCCACCTCCAATTCCCCTGTGGCTCCCAGTTGACTGAATGGAAAACCCTGTTGAAGAATAACAGAATCCCAGAAAGGAGCCCCTGAGTGCATCGGCAACCAAAGAACAATAAATTCTTGTACCTTAAACTTACAATTAAAAAATGATTGAAAGTTGTAAAAAAAGCGATTCAAAAGGTGAGATGTGTTAATTATACTTAGTTTTATTCTTGGTATTAAATTCCGATCTTTTGTTAAGCCCATAAGGTTGAAGAGTGGATAATTGGGAACACCAGTGTCTCTCTTGTAAGAATACGTTTATCAACGTTGTGTTTATCGTCGATATTACAGATTTGCCCAACTACAATGAATTCAAAGTCAGATAATTGATGTTCCTCTTTCCTAAAATGACACCAACTTCGCAAGTGATCTTTTTAGTAGACATAGCCAAATTGTGACTGTGGAATCTGACCTTGAATTCATTGGGTGTGGAACCAACATACTGAACTTTACATTTACAACAAGGAGTAGATAAATAACAATTTTACGGCTAATATTGTGAAAATACTCGGTAGAACTGCTACGAAAAATTTTACTTCTCTAAAATAATTTTTACATAAATCACACTTGCTACTACATTTGAGACACCTGCTGGGAAGTGTATCATTATCTGTGTAATTAGAGCCTTTAGCACTTGCCAAAAGCTCTGATGTTTTTGGACCCTCTAAAAGATGGGATAATGGAACCCTGAGGAAAAATCTATACACTGTTGAAGTGTACTTGTCTTGCAAACACTGCCAAGGTCTTCACACAGAGATTCAGCTCCCAATTTCTGAACCATTTCCCTCAAATCTGACAAGTTTGAAAGTCCAAAGTCCTCTCAAAGATGGCATGTAGAACCCTGTGGCCAAAAGTGTGAAATAATAATCTGGAAAAAATCATTTTACGACTATTTTTGGCGTTTTTAGATTATTCAACCAATCAGCGGGCTCCGTTTTAATTTTGGGTTAATAATTTAGAAACTGACACCATGTTACATTTCATGCATTAGCCTTGCCAATTTCTTACATGGAACATAACTTAAGTCCATACAAGGAAATTGAATGAGTACAAGTAGCTAAATAAAAATTATTCACTGGTGAATGTATGTTTTATGAGCAACATATGTTTGTGAGCAAACTCGATCATTTTGAAATTTTTGGGGATTAAGATTAGCTTCCATATTCGAATATAATGTCACACTGCCAAGGTGACCCATGCCAACATGACACTGTTCAACCACAATGAGAAAAATAGAATGAAATGATCTTGCTTTCAATATTGGTTTATTTGACCATCTTCTTTACACTTAAGTACTATTTGTTATAACTAGCCAATAATGTAAGGCAACTGTAGTACAAAGCTGCAGTGCAAAGACAGCATGTATTCTTAATCCTCTTAATTGACTCAGTGCAACATGTGCGCAATGACGTGGCATAAAACCTAGGATACTGGATATAACACATTATTTCCATAAAAGGGTTCAGATAAGTTCAATCCTCAGTGTTTTTACCTGAAGTGATGGAAAATTATTACTTCTAAGTTTGAGATAAACATTATAATATATATATTTAGCCAAGCCTAAAAGCGGAGCTCGCGATCTCATTACAACAATAATGTAAATGATAATAATAATGATAATAATGATGATGACAACACTACATTGCCCAATGTCGCGTACATTATTCACAAACATTCGCATGTGTTTCTCATATTGTTTATGGAATCTATTCGGCAGTTCAGCGCAGTCTATCCAGAACCTCATGTGTGGTTATTGAAGAAATATATGTACTAATTAAGTCTAACTATGCAATTATCTCTATAGTTTTTCATCATCACATGTTTGACTTCAATAACTTGTTGATCATCTCTAAATTTACCATACCTAGCTAATACCCTGCTACTAAAGAAAAAGGAAAAAAAGCTTTTCCTAAAAAATACTGAGCCAACAGAATGCACATACAATCAAGGACTGGGTCTGGATGCTATTAACCCTTTCACTTGCAAAGTGAACAATGTAGTCTTGTAAGATAGTTAACAATTATTTGCCTTTTGATTTTGAAGACAAATCCTACATTGTATGGTGTGACTATTCAAGTGAAAGCTCTTTGTAAGTAGTACTATTTTAAAAATTATATGTCTTTCACCATTTTACAAAATGAAGCTTAGAATTTTATTTAAATAGTCCATTTTACAGTTAAAGGTGAAAACAAGGTTGGAGTTGACCTTGTAATGTATTCATACAACCCTTCCTACTTGATTATGTAAATTGTGTTGTTTTTATGCTAACTAGTATTTTTAAGCATAATTTCCATAAGAAAAGAAAGCAGGTTTGTATCAAAAAAGGTCAACCTCAGCTTTGCATTCACTCAAGGCTAGGATACTAAGCCCAGAACTGTAACATGGCATATGTGAACTTTTCCTACCTTTGGCAGTCAAATTGTGAAAACAAATGCCATTAGCATGTAATTGAGGGAATGGCAAGAGCAATGAAGTTTGATAACTACATGTACCGTAAAAACCAGCATGTAAAAGTAGTGGTTTACTTAAAAAACCTATGAGCAGAAATGATCCATTTTAATGACCAATAATACAAGACCCTACATGTTTTAAACCAAGAAAGATCAAGCAGGCTCTTTTATGATTGGTTTATAGTTTAACTATGATAAACTATAGAGACTTATGGATTTTAGAACTGAAGCAAAAACAGTATTTTTCTACTGCTTAAAGACCATAATATTATATCTTTCATAGAGAAAAATGGACCTAATTTAACCAGAACTTACTAAGTATGCATAAATATTACTTGCCAATAACTATCCAAAGTACAAGAACCTACTTTGCCATACAGTCAACTTCCTTAATAAAGTGGACACTATAAGGAGCTGAGTTAGTGCCTTCATTAGTGATAGTCCATAATAGCGGACGTTTATTTCAGTCAAACGTCTGTAATTTATTTTTGCTTGGTATTTAGCTGCCGTCCATATTATCAGGGTGTTCTTTATAGCAAGATGTCCACAAGGCGAGAGTTCACTGAATTTCAAAAAGTAGGTTCATCAAACATGCAGGTTTCTACTGTAAGTTAAATAAAGTAAGGAGACTTAACAAAACAATATTGCTAAAATGAAATAATTCCAAGAACTTACTTTTTTGCTGAAAAACTGGCTTTTGCAGTAATATCCCTTTCAACACAAGCACTATTGCCAATCTCAAATTAAGAGCCTTTTTATTCTTAGGCGTGGCCACATAGTGGACCCTTTTCCACACAGGTTTATTACAGAAACGGGCAGTTCATTTGTTATGCATGGCCACAAAGGCCCTCAGCCACACAGGCTAATTGCAGCACAAGGGCCTGTTATTTGTTATGCATGGCCACAAAGGCCCTCAGCCACACAGGCTGATTACAGCACAATGGCACTTTCATTTGTTATGCATGGCCTCAAAGGCCCTCAGCCACACAGGCTGATTACAGCACAATGGCACTTTCATTTGTTATGCATGGCCACAAAAGGCCCTCAGCCACACAGGCTAATTACAGCATAATGGTACTTTTATTTGTTATGCATGGCCACAACGGCCCTCAGCCACACAGGCTGATTACAGCATAACTGCTTTGTTATTGGCGGTGCTTGGATATGTACAATTCATTACATCATAGGCATTAGCGCTATCTTATTGGTATGACTGCAAACAAGACACCACCGTGGTAAGGCTTTCACCTCTGAACCAATGTTATTTTCAACACTTAGACCACATGTTTCAACAATGATCTTGAGACTGAGCCCACTCTACGAGTCTGAGAAAGGTTTCCTCCCTGTACGCTGGTGCTAACACCCTTCTCTGCCGACACTGAGTTGCTAAGACATGCAGTCTCAATCTCCACTGCTCTAGCTCTTGTAGTTGCAGTGTCCACAGGTCTGAATCTGTAATTGTTTATCAATACATCTTCATGAAAAGCAAAATCAGGATCTCTTCCTTCCCCGCCCGCTGATTTTGATCTTGACAATGCCACAAATAGAGCTCCTGGGTTTCTGGCTTCAAAGCCATGATCCCTGGGGTAAACCACTACATACCTGAATGCTTCTCCAGCACCCACAGTCATCCCTTGGCATTTGTGGATTGCTGTTCCCCATGCAAGTCACAATGGAACCTGCAGACGCTTGCATCAGCATGCGCAATCAGTGGAACAACTTACTGGTACAATTGGCACAACTGTAGGATCTTCATTAATGTAGGGTGGCCCCTTATGTGCTGGAAACCTCACCAGAACCACATCAGGTACTGGAGCAGGATCATCAGTGGGTCTGCGGCCATCTTTGTACACAATGTCTACGACTGTACCTACCGCCCCATTGAACAAACCCCAATCAGCCTTTAAGTTAACCACCAGCATGACCTTGCTGTCACGGGAAAGATACAGTAAAGGTAACAATCCTCCCGCCTTATTACTGTCGGCCTTCACTGCATGTCGGCCATTGTGAACTGCCTTGATCTTTGCTACTGGGTGGTTTGGCTGTCTGTTACGCTCAAGCAGCTTTGCTTTATTGTGCTGCCATTCAAGACGGTGCGTGGGAAATACGTACAGACCTTGCTCATCCATCCTAGCAAGGAGTTCTGGCTCGTGAGACATACGGAGATTGTGCCATTGAAACTGTTGTAGCCAATGGATTTGCTGGGGTGTTGTGGTATAATTTCTTAGTGACATCAGCACATCTCTCAGCTGTTGTTCAGATTCGTTCTGCCGTATAATCTCAGTAAGCTCAACAGCACTATCAAACATTGTCCAAACCAAATGACCGTGGTTAGATGGTGCACTACGACAATCTGAGATGTACACAGGGGTGTCACACACAGGAGGAAGCTGAACATCATCTCCCATAAACACTGCCACAGGAATCCCTCCCCATAACTGATCTACATTGGCTCCTTTGTTGATTGCATAACATGCATGCTGTTCCATCCAGCCCATTGTTGTGCGTCCAAACATTGATCGTTCATCCCCAACCAGAATTTCAGATTTTTGCACTTTTTCTGAATTTTCTCTAGTAAGGGACCTGTAGGTACAGTCAACTCATTGCAGGGCCTTCCACCTATTGGTACTCCTAGAAAGCTGTGAGCTGTACTGCCTTGAACGAGATAGGCAGCATTCCCCGTTGGAGTTATTACCTGTATTGCATCATTGGCTTTGAAAACTTGCCGCACTAACCTTTCTAAGACTTTCCTGTACCAGCAGTTCCAGAGAAAACAAGCCGCAGTGGAAGGTAATATCCAGTGTTTTCAACAAAGTTGTACAAGGTGTGCAACACAAGCCCCACTACGGCTTTCTGATTCTCATTTAGAGACAACGGACACACCTGAGGTAAATCAAGGTCTGTACTTTCTGTCTCCCGTTCATCATGTGCTTTAATGCTTTGTTGAAGCCATTTTGTTGGGTCTTTTCGTTCAGGAAGAAAAATACGGGTACTGCTCCAGTCATAGTCCTCCCCCCCATCATCATAATCAAAGTCCCTCTCTACACCCTCATACATTTGGTTCTGCCCTGCATATACATCCACCTAGTCTGGCTGTTCTTCTGCTTCAATAGCATCATCTTCCTCATTCTCTTCAAATACTGGTTCTTGTGGGTGGTCTGCAAAATGCCGTGCCTTAGCAACTTGGGCCTTCACAGATGTTGGACAGTCATCACTTGCAAAAAGTCCTTAAAGCGATCAATCCAAGATTCTGCATCCCCCTTCACTTCTTTGATGTCAAACCAGCTTGGCCAGTGTAACAGGAGCATGGTCCTACAGTAGTCTTCATTCAGTGGCCACGTTGCGTGCGTAGAACCACCACTTACAACAGGAACATTACCGTTCTTAGATGAAAGTGGTACCAAGAACAGTGTTCATCTTGCGGTCGTGCAAGGTACTTATCCAGTGGGGTGCTGCGAGTTGCAGTTTCACCATCACGTTCAAGTCTCCTTGACCCTGACTTTGACAAGTAGGTAAATGGACGGCTACATCGCCAAAGTGCCAGCCCACTCAGTTCAAAGGAAGCCTCCGGTCCACTGAAATCTCGTCTTCCTACCGTCTTTATCAGCATCTTAGCACACATTGACTTGCCTGTCACCTGGTCTGCATCACCTGCATCAACAGCATTCACCATGTCCTTAAAGAGATCAGAAGTTGCACCAGTAGGTTCGCTATCTTTGCAAGCATATCCACAGACATAGTCAATTATGGCTATGATATCATCTGTGCTAGGATTGTCCGGAGGGGAATTGGAAAGAATCAAGCTTACATCCCCATTTACTCTCCACGATTGTAACTGATAACGAGAATGCTGAACCACACGTGGATGGTCACATGGCATCTCTAGCCAGGGAGCTCCATTATGATCTTCCACAATTTCCGGATTACTGTGAATTTTTTCCCTGGGCGGAACTTGCTTCCAAACTCCATCTGACATACACTTTCTCTAGGCTGCAGTCCTTGCTCCGGATGGCAAGGAGTTCTCAAGCAGTAATCAGAGCAACTGTGGAGTCCAACCCTGTTTACTAAAAGCAAATGATCTCCCAGTATTGCATCTTGTGTTGCAGCTATTTACATTAGCATCTTAACTAAGGGATCCCTATCATGTGATATGGGCTCAGCCGTTCCCTCAGGTGGTGGCCAGAGGTCTTTTCTTGGCTGCCCTTCATCATCATTGCCAGCTGGATGTAATGCTGTCATGGCAAAGGTTTCATCTGCCCACTGACTTAGTCTAGCTGCATACTCTTCCTCTTTGCAACCATCTTCACGAGCTTCATGCAATAGCTGGTGTGGTTGCCTGTCTTCCCTCCAGCTGAGTTGGTGCCAATGAATTTGACCGCGGGACTTGGCAAACCCATAGCGGTACCAATAATCAGAGACACCAAATACCGGCTTCAGTACCTTCTCAAGGTATGCCTGGGTACACAGGTCAAAGTAACTCACCACTACATGAGTATTTTCTTGTACTGCCTTGAAGCAGGCATTGCTATCTTCAGCAAGGTTGACTTCTTCACCTTTGGTCTGCAAGATGTACTCTTCCAGTAGCCTTCTAAGAGGAGGAAAGTAAAACTCGGCACAGCTTCCAGTCATGCAAAATGAAGGCAACCCACGCTTCTCATTGACCATGAACTCCACAAGGGCACGAAGCTCTCTGCACCTCTGGTGCCAGTACTGAGCTGTACCGTGCAGATTTGTGCCAAAATACAACTTGTCGGTAAAAGTGTCACCTCTCGCAAGTCGCTCTTGCAGGTCTGCAACAGTTATGTGTGGGTCACCAAGTTGCTGATCAACAAGGACTGGCTCTGCTCCAGGGCACGCTTCCTCAGGATCATATTGTGGACAACAAACTTCCACACCTTATGCCTGGCAAACCTCCCATCTTGGTACCACAGCAGGTGCTCTGCCCAGTCATGCAGTGAAGGACGTGTCACTGGCCGGTTTACGTAGAAATCACCCTTTCCATAGGGAAACAAACAAGGAAATGCCATTGTAAAAAAGTACGGAGTGGTAAACTCTGACGCTGGTGTCGTGTCCGTGGTCGGCCAAGGAATCACTGGTCGTTCCACTCTTTGTTGTGTATTTTCTGGTTCACCCTCCCTAGCTTCTGACACAACTTCATTTACGGCTGCTTCAACTTGTGCTTGTACGTTAACGCCAGGCTCAGGAAGAATTACTCCAGAGACTGTAGAGTCATCAGTACAATCTGTTTCCCCAGCATCCAATTGCTGTGGAGTCTGACACAACTTCATTTACGGCTGCTTCAACTTGTGCTTGTACGTTAACGCCAGGCTCAGGAAGAATTACTCCAGAGACTGTAGAGTCATCAGTACAATCTGTTTCCCCAGCATCCAATTGCTGTGGAGCCAGGCCTTGGTCATCTACCCGTTCTGTTTCAGAAAACCCAACAGTTCTCAAATTGGGCAGCTCATCATCTTCAGGTAAATTCTGTATGCATGCACCATCAATAACAACATCACCATAGGCAGGATTGTTGTCCTTCAACCAACAAAGCGCTCCCTCAACACGGTGTCTTCTAACCCTGAAATCCTTATGGGTATCATCTTTTCCTTGTCTTCTCACGCGTATGATATCCACCTCTGCCGGTAGTCGTGGAAGAATAGTTGCCGGTTCTTGCACAGCTTGTGGGAATGCAATGCAATGCCCCTTTGAAGCGATACCTCCATGCTTCAGTTAGTGTACATGCACAGTAGGTGCTAGCCTGGCTATCAGCATCTGTTCAGCATCTGACGTGTCAGACAAAATCTCAGGAACAGCCATTGGATCCATGTTATTCTCTCATGACCAAACTTTTGGTACCTTCTTATCTTTCCTGCAGCGAATACACATGTGTCTTGTGCCCTTGCACTCCAGTCGTCATTCCTTGCAGACCTCACAAAAACTAAATGCGTAAGTCATCTGCTCCACCTCAAATGCACAAATAGCACTGTACGCCTTATCTTCTTGCTGACTTGAACCTGCTGGTGGAGGTGGAGGTAGATCTCCAACAACTTCTCGCTACCTTTTCTCTTGTTCTGATATTCATCTTTGGTTTCGCCGTTTTCTTTTTCTTGTGTCATCCTCTGTTTCCACTACACCAGGCTTTGCAAACTCATAGTCCACACCAACTGCCCTTGCTCTAGCAACGAGACAGTCATCTTCTAACTGGCTACAATTATTTTTTTCTGGAAGAGATTGCTGTGTTCCCTGCGAATTGCTTGCTTCCTCAATTGGGCCATTTTCTACTACAGGAGTGTCCCTTTTCAACTCTTCTCCTAGAGAATAAATTATTTGTATTTACCAACTACACAATATAAGCTAAGTCGCACTAGTGGACTCTCTTTTTCGCATGCGTAAGGGATAGGTGAAGTTGTTTGGGGTATTCAATTACAGGAGAAGAATTAATAGAATTGTGACTCTTGGGCTATGCAGGCTCAGCCTGCCTACCTAATATAAAATGGTGCTTGTGTTACTGATTTCAGAACCTGATTTAAAAAGGGAAATACACAATATTTTTCCAAACCTTAGATAAAAGAACAAGGCTTGAAAATCATTTTCTAAGTGATGATAACTACTGACTGAGATTTCATAAATCAGTCATCAGTCTTGTGATGTAATGTATAGATCTTGACTATCACACGCTTTACCATCATTACCTCATTTTCTAAAGAAAACTGCTACAAATTGTACTTGTAGAAAGGGCCTTCATGCTGTGCTAGAACTGTTTTGAAGCTATTCTCACCATGGAGCTATCCTAAAGTGGGTGTACTTTCCCCGCATGCCTGCTCCCTTACTTGCCAGGATCTTATACAGGCATTTGTTTTCATGGTTCACTACAGATATTGTTATCATTTATTTCCCCTTTTCTTGTTCATTTATATTCAACAAAATACTTAACCCCCATTCACACCTAAGCTTAAACAAAGTTGTTTATTAAAACACAGTTAAAATTGTCTGCTTTATAATAGCTGCTTACTAAGTTTCTTGCAAATTACCAGAATGGTTGAAGGGCATTATTTTGAATCCTGTGTGAGAATCTGAGGTTATTTTAATACATGTTTCATTTTAATACATGCTTAGTTGGTGTGAATGGGTACCGTGTGAATGGGGCATGAGTGTTTGCATAAGTAGTCACTCGCCTTTGAGTTCAATTTGTGTTTTACGAAAAATATCAAAACAGAATAAGCCCTTTAAAGGGCGAATGCAATTTGAGCTTTTTGAAAAACACATGAGTGCAAATAAATTCCACATTGAGTGAGAAAAGTCATATGATTACTTTTTAATAATATACATGAAATAATAATTATTTCAATAATAATTAATGTCCTGCCTTTGTATGCGTTAATTTTGCAACATACTTAGTTGTTTGGCTTTTATTTTAGCATCTCAAAATCACTGAACTGAATTGTTTGTCCCTAGTTATGGACAGGTGTATCCTTTCTCTTGCAATGCCTGTCCATAGCTGTCATAATTAATTTTCAGACCATTTTGGGCTCATAGTTGCCCACTTGTTTGTTTTTATTACTCATGAGTCTTGTTGTAGAAGGACTCGACTAAGCAGTTTGTTGGGGTTGGCATGCTAGAAACTCTCAATTTTCTCTGAAAATCCTTTCTCTTTGTACAATAGCTTCAAACATCAAATCAATATATGGTCCTGTTTACAATGTTTATATTTGGTTTTTGTTTTCAATTGTTCAATAGTATTTTGTCGTAACAGAACTAAATTTTGCTTTGTATGCCAGCTATTTTTTCCACTCGTCAAGTTACCTCCCTGGCTTCCCACGTGGTGACCAGCAGGTTGTGGCACCTGATTAGTTCTGATATATTTCTATTGTTTATTAGCTAATCACATTTTTTCATTGTCTGAGAAAATTTTTTTCTTCTTATTTGCATAATTTTTCCTCATTTTTGCACAGTGTTTACTAAAATTTGCACTGCTCTAAGACAATCAATTTCAACAAATTGTTCCATGTATATTATTATCTTTCATAATATCATCTTCTGTAATCAATAATTTTTATATCAGTACCTGCTGAATGACTTTGGTCTTGTTCGCCTAGCAAAGAGCATTCTATGCTACATTCAACTTGAAGGACCTCACTTTCATGTTCTTCCAAGGCTAAATAGATAAGATTTTAAAAATCTTTATTTTATAATAATAATCAATGATATGTTCATCGCGAAATTCAATATTTCCCCCATCTAACAATAGTGAATACACACACCTTATTGAATGGTTTAGCATATAATATGTGCAGATATTTTGCGAGTTGCGTAGTATTTTTCTGAGCACCACAGGGGCAAGGAAAATACGAGCAATGAGCGAAATGTCCTCTTGAATAATTATATGCTAAACTATCAAATAAAAGGTTTATAAGGTTGGTAAGAGTATTAAAAACCATCCTGATTCCCTCTGTGAGAATAACAATAACAATGAGCTACATGTTTGTGCATATTATATGCTAAACTATTGAATGAGAGGTTAATTATTCTACCTCCTGCTCCTATTTCCTGTTAAGAGTATCCAAAACATCCTTATTCTCTGCAAATGCCTCTTTTGCATCCACTGGTATTCACCCTGTTGTAAACTGGTTAAACCAGGACACTACAGTGTATTACGGCCTCGTATTTTGCACATTCTCTTGACCTTCTATGGTAAAATGACATAATAGTGGAATAATAAAAGAAGTTTTTGAGCATTTATTGTGGGATATTTTTGTCTTAATTTGGCTATTTTTGCAAAGTACAGCATTTTCAATACAACACAACCTAGCGACTAAGAACCTACAATGAGGGACAAAAGTGTTGACACACTTCCGTAAAATGGCCCCTTTTTGCATAGTGGATATACTTATCCCCTTCCCCTGTCTACCCACACCCCTTCCCCCCCAAAATCAATGTTGAATTTTGGACCCTCAAGTCTTTTTTTTACTTCAGACAACATTGATTCGGGGGGTGAGGGGATTTACGGCGTTTAAAAAGAATGAAATAATAGATGAATTAAATGTTTGCTAAAAGCACCCGTTTTAAACAAGTGTGTCAACTACTTTTGTCCCTGATTGTCTGAAATATGTATCTGTGTTTTCCGGCTAGATTTTTGACGCTGCTGAATTTTTGTGCGATGACGTTACTCTATGGGCCAAATTGTTTTTTTTAGAAACAACAATTTGTAAAGTTTCGTCCTGATTTGTAGTATACGTAGAGTAAAATGTACGAAGCGTATGTCATCACTTAATCTTGTACTTCCGCGCGCGTTCCTGATACCCTGTGGGGTCGAGAGGAAATCATTTGTGTTATGATCAATGCCGTTGCAGCGGATGTAATGTTTTCACAAGTATTATCAATAGTGGAAAAAGGATGGAAACACTAAGGTGCAATGGAAATTGTTCTGGTAAATGATTAACTTAAGCGAATGAAGTACTGCAGAGTAACTGAGGGGACATGCATTATTTTTGACATTGACTTGTGCCATTAGTGAAAGGACGTGAACAATATACAGGTTATGAACCTCATAAATGATGGGCCAGCCGTTTGTGCTATGTCCTATATATAGATGTGTGTTTTTTTTGGAGACCTTTTCAAACCTAAGTGATCCAAACCTTTAGCGTAGGTAGGCGTCGAACAGGTTAGACCAGGTTTTGGAATGTACTTTTGTAATGATTTTAGATGACCGCCTGCCATTTATTCAGTGGCATAATTTTTTTATTGATGTTGGATGGACAACTATTTCATTTCCCAGCTCGTAAATCACAGAATACCAAAGAAATTGTTTTCAAGATAGACACACCAGTTTGCGTCATCGCCAAAACAGCAATTACTTTTGCCCAGAAGTTCACTTGATGACAAGGAAAGCGGGATAACATGTGATCAATGACGGCCGTGCGCTGGAAAATTTTCCTTTTTTATGCGCTAATTCCTCACGAAAGGCAAAAGAAGATTCCGCTATGTAGAAAGTACTTCGCAATACGTATTCTTGGCAAGAAAAATTCCAGCGATGTGGTGCAAATAAGGAGTTTCAACGGTTAACCACGAGAATACATATGGACATTAAGAGGTCATAACAGACTCATTTTACTTTTCGTTTTCCGAAACGTGGTTAACCGTTGTAACACGAAGGAAGCAGTGTTTTCCTCAGTTTGAGCTGTCGTTTTCTTTGAGAGTCAAATACCAGTTCACGTTTCAAAGCTCTCTTTTCATTTTCTCTGCCGACAATAGACAAAAACACAGGGTTTCGCTTGAGAAATACAGTCCAAATACACAGACATATGCGCTCATGTCACGCTATTTGCGTTGCGTTATCATGTCACTCATGGTGTCACGAGGTGGGATTGAAAGTAATTGTTTTCGTGGACACTTGCAATGTTTGCTACGCTGTCCTTAGTTTTTTATTGAATTGGCCATGAATTTACCTTCACTTTTCCGTAGTTTCGATATTGAACGCAGTGACGGCCGCTCCGCACTAACGCTCCATATTTCCGTGGCCGGCCAGTGACTATCCCCACTACGTGTCAATCCTTACCCTACCCGTGATTGTTTGCGCCTTAACCATCGGATAAAGTGAAGAACGAGAAATATTCACTTTATTAAAAACATTTTCAGTACGCGTACCCTTGAAATTCATCAAAAGTTGTACATGTGCGCGAGTTTCAGCGTTAGTTTTTAGCTTGTAAACCATATCGACGTTAATTCTGGATATCGCAGCCCTTTTATTACGTCATCACGTAATTCCAATTGGCCCTATAATTCGGTCGTGAATAAGTCAATGTCACCCCCACCACCAATAACATAATTATGTCTTTGATTTCTTTAATTTCAGTTAAAATCAGTGTCATGCACGGCTCAACTTGTGTGCAGTAGCACAATTTTGCATTCAGACAATGAGGGACAAAAGTGTTGACACACTTCCGTAAAATGGCCCC